AAGACAAGCTGCTGGAGGCTGGAACGGAATCCTGGAGTTGGCTGGGGAAGCTGCCCAGCAAGGCCCTGGGCTCCTGACGTGTCCCTGTCTTGCTGGTCAGCCTATCTGAATTATTTGCCTGTGGTGGCATGTGGTGACCTTGTCCAGGGTGAGGGCCTGGGTGGGGCAGGAACTCTGACAGCCCCTGGGCCCTGCCTCAGGCTGGCTGGCTTTCTGCCCCAGGCCTGCAGGACGTTTGGCCAAGCAACGAGCTCCAGTGAGCTGGGCGGGCAGCCAGGGCATAGGTGCCCACAGCCTGTGCGTGGGCAGGCAGCTGACCACTCTGCCAGCAGGAGACTGTCTCCACGGCCCTGAGTTGTAGCTGCCCACATCCTCCCAGGGTCTACCCAGCAGCCCCTGAGCCACACCAGTGCTGGGCCTCTCATCATCCATGGTGACAGAGGCTCTGGGTGACATCAGCCAGGTCAAAGTGGCAGTTCCTGTGAGTTGCCTGCTGAGCCCCTCTTGTGGGCTGGGCTGCACTTCAAGGGCTCCTCTGTGGCGGAGGCTAGCTCTACACAACCACATACCCGCAAGACGGAGCTGGGTGGGGGGTGCCCATGCTGTCCACCCCAGACCAGGAGAGGCAGCAACATTCTGGGCAGAGGGATGTGTCCATGAAAGCTTGCCCCCTGGCGAGAGGGGCACCAGGTGAGTGGGAGCCAGGGGCAGAGGTCGGAAGGGTCCAGAGCTGTGCGGGTTGCATCTTGCAGGCAAGTGGCTGTGGTCTGGAAAGCGTTCAGGTAGTGTCAGAGTGCCAGGGATCTGCACAAGGGTCTGGGTCACGCCTGCAGAGCCACAGGCCTCTGTGTCCTCACATTTTATCTGCAGCAAAACGGGGACAGTTTTACAGCTGCTTCTGTCTGGAGGTGAGGGAAAGGCAGGCACATGGGTGCCAGGTACGAAACTCTGGATCACCCCCAACCAGATGGGTTTCAGGATGAGGGCCACTGTGGGGAGACACAGGACACTCCCAGGACACTCCCAGGGCCATCCTCACCCTATGCCGTCTCCAGCTGCCACTGACAATAGGTCTCTGGCAGTCAGGTGTTGGCAGGTCCATTCCCTTGCTCTACCACATTAGCTGGTTTGCCGGGGGGCTGCAGAGCTTGTTTAGAGCTCTAGTCCTTTTAAAAAAAACTATAAATTAAATTTCTATTGATTTTAGTCAATAAGCATTAGTGTGAGATGTTTACCCCCCCCCCCCGCCCGTCCCCAGACACACAGCCCTTCCTCCTCCTTGGAGGAAAACTCTTGTCCGGGTGGGGAGCTGGCCCTCTCTCCCCAGGAGGGCACTTCCTGTGGTCCAAGCTGTAGGATTGCAACAACAGCAGCCCTGGCCAGGCTCAGCCGTGAGAACCTGTCCCTTCTCGTGAGAACCTGTCCCTTCTCGTGCTCCAGAGTGAGTCTTGTTTCTGGCTGGTGAGCCTGCTCCAGCTGCTCCTCTGACACCCAGGGCCGTGGCTCTCCTTTTCTTCTGGGAGGAGACAGTGGGGACTGAAGTGAAGTGGGAAACTACTTCTGAGTGTTGAGTGTACTGTTGTCTGTGCAGGTCACTGGCCCACAGGACTCAGGTGGCYGGACACCTGGTGTGGCTGCCATCCCTGTGACAGTGAGGGCTTCCTGGTGGGGTGGTGCTCAGGCACTTTCTCCTGCACACAGTCTACGGAAACTCCCTGGATTCTCTCCCTGGCTGTGCTGCAGCTAGGCTACTGGGACAGCTGACCCACCGACTTCCTCTGTGCTCCGTGTCTGCCAGGCCAGAGTCCTGACTTCCAGGGTTGCATATCAGCCTGAGCAGCAGCAGAGCAGTGGGTTTGGGGGAGGTAGCAGGCCTGCCCCTACCTGCACCATGAGGAGAGGGAGGCTCACCACGCAGCCTCTCCAAGGAGGAATGATCCAGATGCGCTTCAATTTGACTTCCACCATAAGCAGCCACAATATCAACCCATCACAGGTCCCTGTCTGTGCCAGGCTGTGGGGGACACTGGGCAAGACAGGCACAAGCCAGGGATAGCTCGGCTGGGTGGCAGGTGGTCATAGCCTCTACTGGTACATTTTATGATGGGGAAAGAATGTACAGGAAGGATCTATGGCAGCAGCCACGTCCATGGTCCACCTTCTCTGGCTGCTGAGGGCAGTTCAGTGAGGTGAGGACAGGAGGAGTCCCACCGCTGCCTGCCCAGAGGAGAAGGCACGAGGCATGGGCTGGGCTTGGAAGGTTCTGGGGGACTGGGCAGCATCCGAGGTGCTGAAAGGACAGCGCCTGGCTTGGCTGCAGGGCTCCCGCCTGCTGCTGGCGAGCGCTCTCTCCCAGCGGGAGTGGGGCGTCCTGAATTGGAATCTCTGAACTCTTCTGCTCTGGAATTCTGTCGATGCACCTTGGCAAAGATGGCTTGAGCCTGAAAGCTTTTCCCATCTTTTTTTTTTTAATTTAAGTTTCATCATAAGACAAAACACCTTATTATTATTTTTTAAAAAACCTGTGTTTTATTATTTTTATGTGGTGCTGAGGATAAAATCCAGTGCCTCACACGTGCCAGGCAGGCGCTCTACCTCTGAGCCATAACCCAGCCCCCCATCTATTTTTAAATGAAGTGGAATTCCTGTTGCATGCATGAAATTTTCCCTAACTGGGAGCTTCTGTGACCCTGTTCACTGGGTACAGGTTGGGGGGCATGGTGGTGGGCACTGCCAAGAATGTAAGGCACAGCATTGAAGGCATAAATGATCAATGAGCCAGTGTGTTGAAGGACACCCTATATGGAGAAGACAAAGGATTCCAAGTCTGGCTACAGGGTTCACTTTCTGGAACCTTCTGAGATGCAGCAAAGCTGTTGGAGCAGACACCATTGGTGGAGAAGACCACAGACGGCTGTGGAGGCAAAGATATGTTGCACGCCGAGAAGGTCCCTCCAGCCTCCCTGTGAGAGGAACCCCACTTTCAGCCCCCCATGAGACTGGGGGGGGGCAGTTGATGTCTCTTTAACTTCAAGGTTGTGTTCTCCCTTTCTGCTAAAGCTGAGATGAGCAGGTGTCCCTTCCAATGTCCTGGGACCCCAGAGAGCCTTTAGGTTTGCTCTCATCTAAGGGCTATGCATCTGCTAAAATGACACCTGAGACACCTCTCTCCTCTGTGAAGCAGCCCTAACTGTAGGTCCCACTTTGGTCTGACTTCAAGCCTGAGAGTTGCTCCCAGGAGAATCAAGCATGGGGCTTCCCCCAGAAGGAGGGGGCAGCCCAGGCCTCCCTTGGTTTTCACATTTGTTTGGTCTTTTGCAGAGGGAGAATGAGGGTGACCCAAGGGCAAATGGCAAGGCCAGCTAGCATGTGCAGGGGGATGGGGTGGCACCTGCTTCATCTGGGACTTGAAGTCCCTTCCTTACCCTGAGCCAACTGGGCTGGGCCTCTTCCCTTAACCTTTCCTGGGTGGCTTTGTAGGCTTGGAGGGGGGCAAGCCACTTACTGATCATGGCTGATGCTTGGGCCTGGAGGCAGGGAGGCAGGGCTTGTGCCCTGGCTTGTCCTATGCACAGTATGCACACCTGCCTGCAGAAGCTCCAGTCCACCCCAACATTCTAGATAATTGACAAGTTAGCACTGTGCCCACCATGTATTTTCAACCTAATTGAAAACAAACAAACAACAACAACAACAACAACAAAAACCAGGCTCTATAGCCATGAGCTCTGGAAACTAAAGGACTGACTCAGTATAGGGTCTATTGCCATTTTATAAGCAAGGTACTTAAGTACTGCTACTCAAGAGGAGCTTTCTCTGGCCACAACACGTGGTGCTGGGGTGGGATGGAGATGGGAAGAGGCTTGGTGGAGCCAGACCCCCAGGTGCAGAGGAAGGCTCCAATGGGCACTTGGTGAGGAGCTGGCACAATGCACAGGAGCTTCAGGGTCTGAGAAATTGGTCCCTTGGCATCCCTGCTGCAGGTTCCAGAGGGCCCTCTCCTGGGACACCCCTGACCTGTGGAAAGGGAAGCTACTTCTGCCCACTCCTCYCCGAAAGGGGGCATCCTCCTGCCTCTGACCAGAGCCTACCCTCTTTTATCCTGCACTAGACACTAGTGTCCCCCACTGGCCTGTGTTGGCTTGGGCCTCAAGGCACCAGCTCCCTGCCCTGTGGCAGGACCTTCTGAGTCTGCAAAGTCCAGGTCCCCTGGGGACTTCCAGGCCCTCCAGGGGTGATTCTCTAAGGCCTGGATACTCTGACTGCTCCTCCCACTCCTTTTCCTAGAGGGCCTCACTTCCAGGACCCTTCTCCAGGTCCCACCCAGGCGACCTCTCAGAAGAGTCCCCCGATTCTCCTTGCACATCCCAGTGAGGAGTTGGCTTCCAAGTGCCCCATCCACCCTGAAGCCGGCTGAGATCGATTCAGCCCAGGGAGCAGATCATATTAGAATTTGGCAAGAGCCAGTACCCTCCTCCACCGGAGGTGTCCACCCTGGAACCCAGCTGGCAGGAGTCCAACCAGGGTCAGGCGCTTGGCACCACTTTGGGATCCCAGGGAGAGCTCAAGCCTGGTCAGGTGGCCAGCTTACATGGCCCCGTTTGCCTCAAGAGTGACCGCGGGGCTGGAATCCCTATCAATGCGCACATGGCGGGTTGATAGGGAGAGAAGAGTCCTTGAGACCCAGAGTGGCCCTTCCCTTCCTTTCCTCCCTTCCGGGGCGCTGCCGCGCGGTGTCGCAGGAGTTAACGGGGGCGGGGCGAGGCAGCAGGCGGAGCCGGCGCGGCCGCGGGCTGGGCACCGAGGCGCGCGCGGATCGAGGTGGCCGCAGCGTCCCCGCGCGCGGCCGGGACCGGCAGGAGCGCGGAGCCGCTGCCGCCGCTTCTGCCGCCTCGGCCATGCGGCTCCAAGGCCGAGGGCCTGGCCTGGGGCCTGCGCCTCCCCCAGCACGCCGCCCCCGCTGAGCCCACGCCCGGCCGGCCGGGGCGCCACCCGGCACCATGGTGCAGAAGTCGCGCAACGGTGGCGTGTACCCCGGCCCTAGCGGGGAGAAAAAGCTCAAAGTGGGCTTCGTGGGGCTGGACCCCGGCGCGCCCGACTCCACTAGGGACGGCGCTCTGCTCATCGCCGGCTCCGAGGCCCCCAAGCGCGGCAGCATTCTTAGTAAGCCGCGCGCGGGCGGCGCAGGTGCCGGGAAGCCCCCCAAGCGCAACGCCTTCTACCGCAAGCTGCAGAATTTCCTCTACAACGTGCTGGAGCGGCCCCGTGGCTGGGCATTCATCTACCACGCCTACGTGTGAGTGTCCGGCGGGGCGCTGCGCACAGCAGGCTGGGGGCGACCCCGGCTCGGCCGCGGGTGGACTGCGGGCGTGGAGCTGCCGTGGATGGAGTGTCCCCTGTGTGTGTGTCCGCATGCCCGCACGAGTCTCGCGTGTGCCAGGGGTCTGGGTCGGGGCACTGCGTCCCTTGGTTAAGCGAAGGGCAGAGATCAGAGAGTGATTTTGGAAAGCAGTCTGGAAGAAATTCGGGGTCAGGGCGGTTCAGGTGGGGCGGAGGCGCCCAGCTGAATTGCACCAGCCCCTCCCCCGCAGGACGAGCTGCGCTGGCGCCCCAGCCCCCCTTAGCGGGAGGCCCCTCCCCACAGCCCGGCTCGCTCGCTGAACAAAGGGCCAGCGGGGAAGGAGGGCTGCGTGGTCCTGGGTCCAGAAGACTCTGGGGGGGGGGGGCTCTGCAGCTGGGCCCCCATCAACCAAGCGGTGCAGCGGGGCTGGCCTCTCCTTGGCCATCCTTCCAACTTCTCACTCTCCCTGGGAGCTTCTGGGTTGCTGAAATGGGGAGGGGTCTAACTTCACCAGCCCAAGCCCTGGGCCAGTGCCCCACTGGTGCCAGCCCTCATCCCTGATCCTCACACTGAGCACAGTCTTTGCACAGCAGCCAGTGCCCCCGGCACCTTCAGACCCTGGGAGGAGGCCCAMCCAGGACCTGGCTGTGCCCCTCCTGTGGGGCCTGGCGCAGGCTGGCGGGGGCTGCCTGTTTTGAGTGTGGTATTGTGGGAGTTGCTGGGTGTGCAAGTGTGTGTGGGAGTGTGTGTAGGTAGTGAGCAGAGCCTCCAGTGTGAGGGCGCTTGCTCTCCCCTTCCAGCCAAGCCAGGGACAGGAAAGAGCCCCGAGACTCGGCCATTTTGTGTGGAAGAGGCATTTTGGGTCTGGAGTGAGGAGCGGATTCTGGGAAGTCTTGGGCCAGCTGCCTGCTTGGGCCGTGAAGGGTGTGCGTGCCTGTGTGGGTGCTAGAATGTGGTTCTGGGACGAGGAAGGCCCCTAGAGGGAACCCCACTGCCTTCAGGCCCCCAGTAGGCAGGGCTGGTGCTGCCAGTGTGGCCTCCACTTCCCTCAGTGAGAGGGAGCTGCTTCTTCAGTCTAGAGTCCAGGCAGGGTCCAGGCAGGGTCCAGCGCCTGTCCTTGTTAGTTCAGCAGCACCCTGCTCCCTGCCTGTCTGGGGTTCAAAGGCTTCTGTGGGACCGGCTCTGGCCATCCAGGTCATGGCCAGAGAAGACTTCTGGGGTGTGGACGGGACAGAGTCCCCCAGGCAGTATCAGCATTTCCCCAGGGTCCCCTTTGGGTCAGGAGCCCTGTGTGGGTCCCACCCCTGGGTCCTTCCTTAGAGCTGCAGCATCCTGGGTGAGTGGCAGGCTGTGGGGTCTGTGGGTCGTCTCCTCTGGAAAGCCCCGAGTCAGGACCATCCCCTTCAGAGAGCAGCTTCTGCCATGCAGCTGGGGGTGCTGGGGGTGAGACCTTCCCCAGGCAGCCGCTCTAGCCTGCTTCAGGCCTCTGCTGGGCTCCCTCACTGAGGCATGGGGCTTCCGCGGCTCCCTGGCAGGGGAGGCTGATGGGCAGCGGTGCCTTTCTGGCAGGGAGATTTCCTCTGGCAGGGGGTAGGCAGGAGGGAGAGTGTCTGAGAACAGGGCCTCTGGGAGGTGCCAGGCCACACACTAGGGTCTGCTTTCAACCTCTACAGGCTTCCATCTTCTTGTTGGTACAACAAGGCCCTGTCTCTTGGGCCTTGTGAAGACCCACTGAGAGGGCTTGTCCACCCTCTGCAGGGGCCTTCAGACCCATTGTGCCAGGTGGGACATCTTGTATGGCTGTTGTGGCTCATCACCCATGCCCAGGTCTCCAGGGTGGGACCCTCCATGCCCAGCATGCCCCTTCCCGACTCGGGAGGACTGGTGGTCTGAGCTTCCTGACCAGGTGGCCAGTCCTCGTGTCCCCTGCTGGCCTCGCACGACTGGCCCGTGTTCTGTATCAGACGCCAATCGGTTTGTCCATTAACTCATAATGAAGATCGAGTCCTTCCTTGGCCCTGGTTGGCCCGTGGAGGACAGGGCTGTGGCTCACAGTGGAAGCTAGTCCCACATCGGGCAGTGTCGGGCCCCCTTAGGCCAACTTCCTTCTGCCTTCGGCCACCAAAGCCTGGTTTCTAAGGAGTGGAGCTCTGTCAGTCTCTTGGCCATCCTTGCTGGGCCCCTGAAGGACAGCTGCTGTCCAGGGTGGGAAGAGGCAGCTGCTCTCTGGCCCCAGGGCTTGGTGGCCAGGTCAGCCAGGCTCACCAGCCACAGGACTCTGACAGGCCCCTGGCAGAGGCATCGCACGCCACCTGTGTGTCTCCAGAGCCACTTCCCAGCTGGTGGACACCTGCCCCCAGCCCTTTCCCGAAGGGCTCCCGTCTGCGCAGCACTGTAGGGCCCCTTGGAGCCTGAGTGCAAAGGGTGGTCCTTCCTGGGCTGCCTGCCAGGTATGCTGCTCCTGAGGGGCAGTCACTGGTCCCCCAGCCAGCCCCCCAGAGGGGTGTGTGGGAAACAGGCTGAGAGAGCCTGTCCTGCCCAAGGCTGGGCCTCCACCTCAGAGACAAGGACACCTGTGCCATGGGTGGCCTGGGAGAGTGGCACTCAGAACAGGCCAGATGGAGCATCTGGAGCGGGGAGGTACTGTGCCTGGGGGCTGGACCCAATGCACCAGCTCAGCGCTTGGGCTGGTCACGAATTCCTCCATCCCCAGTGTCCCGATTCCCTGTGGAGGCCTCTGGGGTCCCAGGCCTGTGGCTGTGGACGCCCCACCATCTTCATCTCCCATTCACAACAGCAAGAGCAGATCCCAGGGTCAGGGCACCCAGCTGGGGCTCCTTCCTCTGCCTGGCCCAGGATAACAGTGGGGCTGAGTCCAGGCTGCCCTTGGGCCCCCTCCCTCAGCCCCGCTTGCCTTTAGCTCTGAGGCCTGTGGCGGTGGGCAAGCCCCGCACAGCAGGAGGTACAGCCTCAGCCCCACATGCAGGCCCTCATGTCTGCATGTCCTCCATCTGGCTGCCTGCTAGGGGCAACTGCAGGCCAGGCCGCACGCAGCACACGCAGGAGAGGTGGCCGCTTACAGGAGCAGGCTCTCTGGTCTCTGCTGACCCAGCACCCGGTGTGCTGGGAAGAGACCGGAGTCACTGAATGGCGTGTTGTCAACTTCTCCAGGCCCCAGGCCTTGCTGCGGCTCTCCTGGGAGGAAGTGTCTATCGACTGAGGAGTTGAGAATCTTATGGAAATTTCCCCCAAGGCAAAAATGCCTCAGAGTTGTGGTTTCCAGGGAACCTGCATTTCTGGGGGGCCTGAGCTTGTCCGACTGCGTGGCCTCTTCACAGGATTTCCAATCCTCGCCAGTGCTTTGAAGTGGAATTGCTYGGAACGGTGGGATATGTTTAACCTCTCTGCTCACTTGTGGAGGGAGCCTCTGAACGTTCTTGAGTTTGCACAGGATTGGAACACACAGTTGACCGCGGATAGGAAGCTCTCTGGCAGGTTCACAAGTCAGAGTGGGGACAACATGTGTGTGTGTGGCTCAGGGTGGGTCAGACTTCCAGCCAGGTTCTAGAGACTCAGGAGGTCACACAGAGCAGCCAGCACACCTGGAGGCCTTTGATGTGGACCCTGCGTGGCCCCCATGAGGCCCCCGTATGCCGGCCACGTGGACGGGGGGCCTGTCTCTACTTCTGAATGTTCTTGAACCCAGGATGGTCCTGAAGCGCCCGTGATCCTGGGCAGAGTCCCACAGTGGACACGGCGTCTTCAGTGTTTTCCCACTTTGTGTTAGCCAAGAATGAAACAGTGGACCTCTGCTGGCCTGAGTGCTCCTGGCTGACCACTGTCTGGGCTGAGAGTGTCCATTTGATGAGAGACCCCAAGCACCTGCTGGTGGGAGAGCTGGGCTGGCCCCCAGCAGAATGAGGACCTGGTCCTGGTTGGGATGTGGAGGGCCAGGAGGGATGATGGCTGGCCCTGTTCTGAGCAGCCTCCCACAGCCTTCCACCCCTCAGCCTGACCTTTGGAGAGTTCTGGTCCCACTGGGTGATGGTGAGCACTGAGGGGTTGGTTGGTTTGGGCTGCTGTTTGCTCAGAGACACATTTGGACCTGACCCAGCTGCTTGTTTGTCCAGCAGGGCTGGCCTCAGGTTCTGGCCATTTCCCTAGGATGGGTGTTGGGATACGTCTTCCTGCTGGGCTCCAAGTGGTCCGTGTTCCTGCATCCTCTGGGTTGGGGCATGGAGAAGCATGTTTTGGCCTGAAAAGTGCCATTGTGGGTAGGTTTTGCCAGGGAGCCCCTCAGACCTCGCAGGACCAACCTGTGGACTTTTGGTTCCTGTGCAGACTGTGTCCCCACAGCCCTGTAGCTGGCTGGCAGGCCTGAGCCCACCTTAGGACGAGCCTGCCCCCAAGTGCAGGCGCCTGCCAAGCAGGGCTGCTTCCTGCGTGGCGGGAGCTCAGCTGTGGTGACAATGCTTTGCTGACAGCTCCGGGAGCTTCTTAAGACAGCGTTGGCTTGTGGTGACGTGTGGCGCCGGGTGGAGGAGGAGGCCTGCCCGGCGGCAGCTGAAGCAGTTGGCTGGACCTGGGGAAGGGGTGGAAGGCCAGGGCTGCAGGAGACTTATGCTCCGCGTGCTGCGGCCTGCCCTGTGCCAGCTGGGCCCTCCTGCTGTCCCTGTTGTGCCCAGGAGCCCTGCTTCTCTGAGTACCGGGACATGTGCTCCTGTCAAGAGTAGGCAGGTGGGGGCTGGTGTGGTGACTCAGTGCAGAGCACTTGCCTTGCATTGTGAGGCCCTGGGTTTAATTCTCAGCACTGCATATAAGTAAAGTAATAAAATAAAGGTCCATCAACAACTAAGATATAAATAAAATAATTAAAATAAAAAAGAGTGGGTGGTGTGAGCATGGCCAGTGGGGCCCGGGGCCAGGACGTGCCAGCGTCCAAGGCTGTGGCCTTG